ACTCCCTCCCTGGGTCCTGCCATGCGGAGCTGGCCCGAGGTGCCCCCCTGCAAATAGAAATCAAACTATGCCTGTGCCTGGAGCCCCCAGGTGCCCCCCCAGGCCCTGGAGTTTTTATAGCATGTTGGGGGGGTTCAGAAAGAAAAAGGTTGAGAACCCCGATCTAATGCATTTTCTCTAGTTGCTGAGCAGAGATCCATCTTACAGACCTAAGCAGGTCCATCGGACCAGGACTTCTGCAGGGGAGGTTTAAAACCTCCCAGGGATATGTACGGGGGAAAGAACATGGGCACCCCTTCCCTGATCACTCCTGCCCCCTATATTGGCACTGCTCCCCTGCAACATCCCACAGCAGTGCTGCCTCTTGTACCAGTAGAGCTAACAGCAGCACTGTGTGGAGCCCTGAATGCACCAGTGCTCTACTCCTCTGACACTCAAGGCAGATCCACTAGAGGGAGCCCTTGGTGCACTGGCACCTTGTAGTGCTGCTGCCTTCACTCCCTGGACCATGAGCCAGCAGCACTGAATAGAGACCAGTCTATATGAGCACGGAGATCTTAGAACATAAAAACTGGGCTCTTCACTCCAGCCCCCATCTCTTTACCCCCGGTTTTCTCAAAGGTCTGATTTCTCTCTTGTGGCCCTCTGCTATCCACTTCACCTCCCTGGCACTGCAGGGTTTCTGTGAGGAGTAGATCTTGTGAGTGAAAGAGGCAGGCTGGGCAGCTGTGGTGGTTGGGATGGCATGGTGGAGAGATGATGGTCTACGTGGCATGTGCCAGAGGGAGAGCCCTATGCACCATTCTCTTAGTACTTGGTGCAAACTAGGCTCTGCAGCAGTGCAGTTTTCTTGGCTTTTCCTTGTAGGGGTAAAATAGGTTTTGATGGTGTGGTAGAGCTCTGACCTTGTCTCAGTGGGTCCCACGCTTCCTGGCGGATTACGCTAGCCTCAGTGGCTCACTGTGACCCTCTGCATAGCCCTTCTCCCTAAGGAGAAGTCGTTGATGAAGATATTGAACAGAGCCGGTCCCAAAAACAGACCCTTGCGGAACCCCACTTGTTATACCTTTCCAGCAGGATTGGGACCCATTAATAACTACTCTTTGAGTACGGTTATCCAGCCAGTTATGCGCCCACCTTATAGTAGCCCCATCTAAGTAGTATTTGCCTAGTTTATTGATAAGAATATCATGCGAGACCGTATCAAATGCCTTACTAAAGTCTAGGTATACCACATCCACTGCTTCTCCCTTGTCCACAAGGCTCGTTATCCTATCAAAGAAAGC